CTCAAATGTCCGAATCTCGACTGACGTTCTCAACACCGTTCTGCCAGACTTGCCACTGCTACTTATTATCTATGGGAGAGTCCATTACCAAAGAATAGGTACTATGGCAACAACATATATATATATATATATATATATATATATTTATATATATATATATTTAGTTGGATTGGTGTGAGTTTATGACCATGGGTTTCATGCTTTTTGCAATCGTCAGACAAACTGATTAATTTTTAAATTTTTGATTTCTACAGCGACCAATTGCGTACGTATATACGCAACGACACATGGATGCGTATGTATGCCCATCCCACACTGTTCACATATGTTTATGTTTGTGTGACCTCCAATGAGTGAGTGTGCGTGTATATATGTCTGCATACGTCAATGAGTGAACGTGCGTGTATGTATGTTTGTGTAGGTATGAGTGACTTTCCGATGACAATTTCCCTCCCACTATCATAAAAACACCGATATACGCAACCATATATAAACCCAAAATTTAAAAATTAATCAGTTTGTCTGACGATCGCAAATAGCGTGAAACCCAGGGTCACAACCTCACATCAATCCAACTAAATATATTAGCTCTATCACTGATATTGAGCGCTTTCCAATAAGTACCGCGCATATATAATATATAAATAATATATAAAACAATTGCATATATATATATATATATATATATATATATATATATTTTATATATATATATATATATAGACGCATTTTACATATATATTGAGGTTGATATGCCATAAACCAAACCAAACTCAAAAACAAGAAATACCGGACTCAGCTTAATCTATTGGACCCGGACAAAAGATCATAGTGTTTCAGAAACAATATTTAAATAGTTTTCTTTCTATCAAATATCTACGACTTCGTTCTACTAATTTTACCATCTTTAAACCTACATAGTTCCATCCTCCCAGAACTTGGAATCTTCCTTACTTTTAACAGGTCCCAGATGATTGAAGTTTTTCCCATTAATACAACTTTGCAGGGATCGAAGTAAATATTAATCTAAAGGTGCAAGATCAACTAACTTGTCCTGATGGAAGACGACACCCTTCCGTTTTATCCAATTCTGGACGCTTTTCGTCATTTTTCCTTGCTGAAGGAACTCGTAATGCACTAGATACTACACCTTCAAATACAGATTGGCTTTTAGAGCGGTGAAAGTTAACTAAGTTCGCTTCACCCAGGACCTTTTTTTGATCCACACTGTTGTAAGCTATCCATTTTTCATCGTATGTGATGGTTGTTTTCAGAAACTAAGATGTTTTCTTGCTTTTTATCAGATAACCAAAATTTGCTCCCGTCATCCATTCTCTATCGCCGTTCGGCTTTGCAAAATTTGATTGGTGGTAAAAGAAAACCATAAGTGCCGATAGCGTGAATTTGTTTAAGGTGGATATCAACTTGTCAGGAAGTGACACCCACACTAGATAATAATAGAACAAAAATTATAGTACAGTGTAACCCGGATATAAGAGACCCGGATATAAGAGAAACCCGGATATAAGAGAGATTTTCTCTGGTCTCAAATTAGAGCCTGTGTTAATGTAAACAAAATAGACCAAACCCGGATATAAGAGAAACCCGGATATAAGAGACGTCTTCTCCGGTCCCGACAACTCTCTTATATCCGGGTTATACTGTATAATAAAGAAAGGCATAAGAAACCAACATCGATCAAATAGATAGATGTAAAATGAAGAAACAGTGACAGATGGATAGATAGATAGATAGATATGAACAGACTGAAATAGATAGATAGATAGATAATGAACAGACCAAGATAGATAGATAGATAGATATGAACAGACTGAAATAGATAGAGAGATAGATAGATATATAATGAACAGACCAAGATAGATAGATAGATAGATATGAACAGACTGAAATAGATAGATAAACATCGATAAATACATCGCTTGATTTAGAGATGTTGGTTAATAAACGGACCGAGATAGATAGGTAGAGAGAGAGAGAGGGAGAGAGGGAGAGAGAGTTGGATAGATAGATTGATATATATATATATATATATATATATATATATATATATATATATATATATATCGAAATATAGATAATGAACAGTGCAAGATAGATCGATAGAGAAAGAGAGAGACAGAGAGAGAATGAACAAAGATTGATAGATAGATAAATAGAAAATATTATATATGTATATATATGTAGAGAGAGACAGACAGATAGATAGATACATACATGTTGTTTGGCCTATCTTCACAGATGACTGCCGTCTTGCCCATCAACACCTCCATTCAATCTAGATCATTGTTTCCACTCGAATGACTTCGAAGTTGGCTCTTCCAACAAGCAGTTGATTTGCAAAGCCTATAGCATAGCAGTGTCTTCACAGGAATAAGCGAATGTTGCTGTGGTAGGTCATCCTTGTGCACCACCATGTGTCTCTTCAATCCAGATGTCGATTCGCACACTTCCCTGCAGATCACACATGCAGTATCACCGGGTCATGGAGGTAACACAAAGTGAAGTCGTCTCTCGTGTGATTTCAGATGATTAACATACCCAGATTTTGACAGTAGGATACGACCACATGTCTCGAATTTCCAGCTTGCAGGGCTGTCATCCAAGCTCCTGGTAATACCTTTCCTCAAACCCCTTTTCAGTGCTGCATGTGCTAAATTCTTTTTCTCTGCTGACTTACATCCTGCTACAAAAAGCCCTGTGCCACTCACCGCGGTGATTAGCAAGGTTTTCCCATTCATCCACCCCCACCCTAAGCTCTTTCAAGTTATTCCCCCACACAGTCCTTAAATCTCTTTTCTGGCTTATGCTGAGGACGCTTACCATTTGCAAGCTCGCCATAAAACAGCTGCTTCGGAAACCTGCTGTTATCCACGCATACCACATGTCCGACCTATCTGAACTGGTTTTTAATCAGTAAGTTTTCTAATAATACATGCATACATATACATACCTACATATATACATACATACATAGATAATAATCAGAGCAAGATAGATAGACAGATAGATAGAAAATGAAGAGAACTTGTAAAGATATGTGTATGGAGAACAGGCCGCCATCGATAAATAGATAGACATAGATTTTGATAGATATTACTTAACGAACTGAGATCGATAGATAGCTACATATATAGATATATATGCAGTAAAAATGAACAGATAGATAGATAGATGATAGATAGATAGATAGATAGATAGATAGATAGATAGATAGAAAATGAATAGACCAAGACAGATATATACATAGATACATACATACATAAATAGTCAATGAACAGACCATAGATCGATAGATAGATGGATAAATAATATAGACACCGGGATATATATATATATATATATATATATATATATATATATAGATAGATAGATAGATAGATAGATAGATAGATAGATAGAATTTAGAGACCGTGTTATATTGATTGATAATAAATGAAGAGATGATGATAGATAGCTAATACCGTGTTATATTGATAGATGATATAAAAACTTTATATATATATATATATATATATATATATATATATATATATATATATATATATATCATCATCCCATAAGTTCTGTCCGAATATTGAATAAAGAAAACAAGTGACCAAATGTTACATTTAATTACAGATTCAATCAACAATGTATTTTCCCTGATTATCTATGACTTCCTTCCATCTATTAACAAGCTTACTAATTCCATTACTGAAAATTCTTTTGGCTTTGATTCGAAGAACTCACAAATGTCAGTTTTAACCTCTTCCTGTGTTACAAATGCTGTTTCTTCCAAATGATTCTGTAAGCTACAAAACACATGATAGTCTGAAGGAGAAAGATCGGGGGAATAAGGTGGATGAGGAATTTTCTCCCAACCAAGTCCTTCTCTTATTTTTTTGTGACGTGATTCTTGCTGTGTGGCGTCGCACATTGTCCTGATGAAACATCACCTCTTTTCGATTCACTAGAGCAGGTCTTTTTTCCCTCAAAGCTTGGTTCAAACGCTCTAATTGCTGACAGTATATTTGAGCATTAATTGTTGCATTAGATGGTAAGAATTCAAAGTGGATTATTCCTTTGCGATCCCACCAGATTGAAAGAAGAACCTTTTGCCCATGAAGTTCCCTTCTCGGCTGTGGCTGGGGTCCTTACCCTTTATCAAGCCACTGTCTACGACGCTTAATATTTCGATAAAAGATCCATCTTCCGTCGCCAATAACAAGTCTATCCAAAAAAGGTGAATCAAGTTGGCAAGAATGGAGAGAAGAGCAGATGTCAACTCAGGATTTGAGGTTGTTTTCAAACAATTCATGAGGCACCCATTTTCCAAGTTTAGGAACTTTTCGTATTTGTTGAAGATGACGATGAACAGTTGTATGGTTTGAACTGAGAACCACTGCCAATTCCTCAACTGATAAAGCAGGATTTTCTTCAAGGGCTGCTTCAAGAAGCTTTTCATCAAACTCAACTGGACGTCCGGTTCGATCTTCATCTTCAAGGGTGAAATCTCCACATCTGAATTTTGCAAACCATCTTCTGCAAGTTCTTTCATTCACCCATTCCTCTCCATAAACTGAGTGAATGTTTCTAGACGCTTCGGCTGCTGAGTTTCCTTTCTTGAACTCATAAAGCATTATGTACGTCAAATGATTCTTGGGTACTTCCATGTTAGCAGGGTTTTAATCAAACAAAATTTAATTTTATTGTTCTCTGAAATCAAATTTGATCAGTTTTCGGTTTTCGATTTTTAAGTAACGTAGTTTTTTATTGTTATATAACAGTTATAGCTATGTTTTTCGTCCGGTGTTTCGTTTGATTTTTATAGTCTAACTAATATTTTGGTCATAATGGTTTGTTAATTTGTTTATTATTTACTTTATTTATTTGGATTCATTGATTTTGTTTTTTATTTTATTTATTTATTCTACTTCCCCTATTCTAACGTGTGTGATATGGTTATTTGTTTGGGTTAATTTATTTACATATTTTATTGTCATTTTGTTTATTTATCTATTTTTTTCAGTTTTTCGATTTTTAAGTAAGGTAGTAAAAATTTGTTTTCATGTCTTCATTTTGAGATGAGCTAGGATCGTTTATTTAATAATTTATTTTGGTCTGAGAAGGTAATGATTTTTTCCTCCAAGCAAAGTTTGCAAGTATTAGATTGTTTTCCAAGATAGTTTTGGTGTGATGTGCGTTTTGTTTTTAATTTCCCAGATATACTTAGAAAGCATTGTGCTGTTCGCGTATTTACTATTTGTGAAATATGTTTTGTGTGCATAATTTCTTTGTTTCCAGGGTCCTTCAGTTACTCCTATGTATACTTTTTCTTCATTGTCTGGTGATTTTACCGTGGCTTCGTATATTGCGTTGTTTTGTAAGCAATTACCGTTTAAGGAACATTCGTTCTCTATTCTGCAGTTACACGTGGGTTTAACTTGTTCGTGTGGTTTGTTGATAGTTTTCCTGTTGTGCTTTTTTGTTATTTGTGTCATGTTCTCGGTGAAGCTGTAGCTGATTTTTTACTCTGTTTTTGTTGAATATTTTGTGTAGGGTGCTTCATTCCAGGAAGTGTTTGTGTAAGAGTTTGAAAAATATTTTTATTACGTTTGTTTTTATGTTTTTGCTGTACGGTGGGTTGAACCATATGATATTTCTTTTCCTGCTGACCTTTATGTGTTTTGTGGTGAGTATGTGAGTGTTGTTGGGAATCCACTATCTTTTAGGGCTGTTTCGTAGTCTTTCTTAGCTTTGTTAAATATGGATTCATTTGAGGGATTTTCGGAAAGCCAGCGGTTAAACGATTTTGGTATCTGTTTGATTATAGAACGCGGGTGATTGGAAGATGTGTGTATATGGAAGGGTTTATCATTGGGTTTTCTGTATAGTTTATACGTGCCTTTTCTTAGGTTGAAGGTAACATCTAGGAAATCTACTTCGTTAGGTTAGTTTTTATATCGAATGTCGAATCCATTATTTTTGAAAATCTTTATTATTGCTTTTCTAGTTTTGTCTGTGTTTTGTTTGTCACAGTTTCTTAAGATTATGAGACCGTCATCCCTGTAGAGTCCTGTGTCACTTCCATCTATTATTTTGCTCAGTTCGTGTAGTAAGTATATACCTATGATTTCGCATGTCACGAACCGTCAAAGCTTCCCATTGTAGTGTCAAATATCCCATCTTTCTTTAACCATGCTTCTTCATTGTGAAATAGTAATGATTTACGGGAGTGTTTAATGATGTCGATTTCGTTTGGTTTTATTATTATTTGTTCTTAAGCTAAGTTGACGGCCTTATCTAGCATGGGTTCTGTTATGGATGGGTAAAATTCTTTTATGTCTAATTGTAAGAATTGGCAATTTTGTTTGTTATTTATGCTGTAGAACTAGTCAATTAGTTGCTTTTGTGTTTTTCCACTGATTTACTCCTAACTTCTTCTTAATTTCAGAATTAATTCTTTCTAGTATAGTTTTACTTATTTTAACTAGTTCGCTTTTGGCTGGGTTTATGAGTCTGCATGCAGGGTTAGTTTTGAAATTTTCTTTGTGATCTTTTAGTGTGATAAAGGCTTGCGTCTTCCTAATGCAAATTATTAGGACATCTATCTGTAATTTTTGGGCGATTGCGTGAGTTTTCATATTGATTTAGTGTTCTATTGTTTTGGTGCCTTTTTATATGTTTTAGTTATGTTGTTCTTGAGTAATTTATTGTGCCTAGGTGGGCTTAGTTTCGTATAAATTTCTTGTTTTGTTTCCTGCCAAAATAATAGTTAGAATAAACTACAGTAATCAACCCCAAAATTGAATAAATAGCTTTAATTATCTCCCCAGACCAAAACAAAACTATTAAATAAGCGATATAAACAAATTTTTACTACGATAATAAAACACCGATTAAAATAAAAATAAATAAATAAATATATGAGATAAGAAATAAAAATAAAAAACTAAAAAGTAGAAATAAAAATAAAGAAAAACAAGCAAAATAATTTAACCAAAATAAATAAATAAACAAATAAACGACTTCTGGAAAATTAACCGCCAAAATAGACTATCCACAATGCACCACTGACCCGTATACATAAATAGCCGAGAAAAAACAACACTAGTGGCCTGACGATTTCGTCAAGCATGAAACAGCCTGTCGCCTCTAAGTGTTAACTTCAATGTTCACTTTTATATATATGTGTATGCATATATATTTATATATTTTGCATATTTATGTGTATATTTACCACTAATATTATATATATATATATATATATATATATATATAGAGAGAGAGAGAGAGAGAGAGAGAAAGAGAGAGAGAGATAATGAATAGACCAGGATAGATAGGTAGATAGTGTTAGATTGATAGTTAATGTATAGAAAAAATCTATTTTAAAAAACACCATAAATTTTATTAATATCACTGAAAATCTCGATTCTGTATGTAGATATTCCTTACAATAATATACTCATTTTTATGCAAAAATTATTTTCCAATTTGTATTTTCAGATTCGAATTTATTAACCAATCAGCAACGTTATATCAAAGCAATTATTCTTCGAATATTCATACCATTATTTTCTTTTTCGGCTGCGAAATTTTAGATTTCATTCCAGTAAATATTCAACAATATTTTCAGTCCTAAATATTCAATAATTGGCAAAATATTTATTAACCAATAGACTTCTAGGTAGGTAAATCAATCTTTTAGCTTCCTCTGTTTTATATAAATATTCATTGCGAAAATCCCCGATCAGTTTTCAATTTTTTGTTTACTGACTGCTGACATGTTGCCTGGTGGAAAATTACACTCATTCGTAAAACAAAGTAAATACTTGACTCTTCTAATAGACAACTTCATGCTTTCCCGTCATACTAACGAAATTATTTCCGTTGTCTTTTTTAGAACAAAAACAAAATATTTTTGTTGGATTTTGTTTCGCGAGTATATTTGTAATTCGTTTCTTTTAACTTGAAAGAAAACAAATACTCAGTAATAAAATTTATTTAAAATTGGTCGAGCGTTGTTTGACGATTATTTCTTACTTCGTTTTAATCTGCAGATATTTTCCTCTGCAGATAAATATAAACAGTTCGAAATAGATAGATAAATAAATAGATAGAAAATGAAGTGACTGAGTTTGATAGATAGATAGATAGATAGATAGATAGATAGATAGATAGATAGATAGATAGATAGATAGATACAAAATGAAGAGACCCTGATAGATAGATAGATAGATAGATAGATAGATAGATAGATAAGAGACCGAGTTACACTATTTACATTATTCGGACTATTGTCCTCATCTTTGTCGCCATTTTTATTACAAAGTTTCAGCCGTTGTACGCTCCGACCTTCTTCAGGTGGTTGTAATGTCGAACTGAACACTTTATTTCGCTCACTGGGATAGACCTAATATCCAGAAAGTCATATACAGATATCGTCAAGGACATATAGCACAGTGGATGAAAGCGTTAGTTAGATCCAGTGACAGGACCCAAAAAGTGTGAGTTCAATACCCGGTTGAGGCAGTGGAGAACTTCGAGAAGGGAATTAATAGGAGATAACTGATAACTGATATCCATTAAACATGGCACGTGGACCTAGAACAGCCTACCCCAGTGAGCGAAATAAAGTGTTCAGTTCGAGATTCCAACCACCTGAAAAAGTCTGAATAATGTTAATAGTGTACATAATACCTCAACTCAGAAATATAGACAGTTTTACATTGATAAATAATATACAGACTATGATATATATATATATATATATATATGAATAAAAATGACAATAGGAAAACTAGTAATTGCTGACGCGTTTGTCCAATGTATACTTTATCAAAGCAAAATACGAAATGAATTTAATTGAACAAGGTAACTAATAAAAACAAAAAACGGAATGTTCCTAGCAATTGGAATGTAGAGAAACGCTATTTTTATATTGTTAACTGAAAATAACGTCAGTATTTGTCACGTGTGGAGAATATTAAATACATCAACACAGATATAATTTCCTTCACGAGTGACGGTCGGCCTTGTTGGCTGTTCCTAAGTTCAGTGACCTTTCTCGGCCTAAGAAGGTCTTCTATCTTGTCGGAGGAGGAGTTTCGCTCTTACAGGTCTTTGGCGCCAGCGGCGGATTACCTCAGTAACCCTGAGTTTTCACTTACCTGGCGATTGGCTCGGAATCGGTTGCCTCTCAATGATAAGGTCTTCATATGGGTCTTGGCGAATTTGCCAGACTGTGAACGGTGTGGCCTTAGTTTAGAGGAAATGGCTTCTTACGCCTTCTACCATTGTCCCCGGGTCCGCCCCTTATGGGGCCATGTCGGCGAGCTGACGGATCGTCTCGCTCCCGAAAAGCTCGTGCCCATTGATCGCGCATACGCGTGTGGTAATGTGTCGCCCCCGTATTCCGGGGTGAAACGAATGGTGTTTCTGACGCTGCTGGCCACGGCCGAATGGTGATTTGAACGACGCGACAGGAGGAAGTCTTGCGAGGCATCCGTCTTTCTCATCAGGATCTGAAATTATTCTTTGAGCATCAGCTCAAGATGAAGATTAGAACTGATAGAAAACGCATGCATTCGACAGTCTTCAGCGAAAGGTGGATGACTGAGGCGAGCTTGGTTCGTTTGAACGGGGCTAGCCTTGATTTTCTCTTTTAGGTCAAACCCATGTCACATCGGGGTGGTTTCCTGTGGAGCACCCCCCCCCCTGGTTAGGTTAGACAAGCTTTTGTGTACCTAGTTAATGTGAGTAAATGTTGTTCCTAGCCTGTTCCCGGCTACATCTTTTGTTATGATCCAAGTTAAGATTCCCAACCTCCCCGTTTTTTTTACCTCCTTTTTTTTTTTATCTCGACTGAATCAGTTTTTTTCTTTCCCATGTCCATGTATATTTTCTCCTTTTTGCACCTCCTTAACGAGAGAGCTTCTTGATTTTGTCCAAATGGGCAGAATAAAGTGGCCTCTCATTTTGAGGGTTGGACGGGCCCTACTAACATCAGTTATGTTTAGTTTATTTTTGTGTTTATATTTAGTTTGTTTTTGGGGTTCATTCCCACCCCTCTCATTTTTCATCACAGATTTTTAAGTATATATTATCATTAAATTTTTACGGCACGTGGCGCGTTTTGTGGGTCCCCCTTGTGAGGATGCGGTATTATGGTGTATGGAGGATTGATTGGTGATGGACGAGTTCTTGTGGTGATTGGGCAAATTGTAATGAGTGAATGGATCTTGAATCGAATTAGATATAAGACAGTTAGTGAAGACCAACCTCAACCCTCCCCTTCATAGGCCTTGTGCCATACTTGTATTTATTACAGTAAATACCGTCCACATTGGACGAAACGCCTATTGTCATTTTTATTTATAAATATTGTCTTCTCTACTGGTTAAATCGGAGAAATTTTCATATATATATATATATATATATATATTAAGAAATGGACAAGGTCCGACAATTTATTTATTAAAGACATTTTTATGTTTAACGTTGTTATTTTATAGATACAAGTATTTAAGCAAATGCTCTGTTTATGATAAACAGTATTAAATAACATTTACCGGGCTGAATGTCCGAGAAATTTTCATAGAAAATATTCGTTCTTTTTGACAGGATTCGAACCTGCATCCTATACGGAACCGTCATATACGCTGACGTGCCTTGACCGCTCGGCCACAAAGAACCTTACGGTAGACAAGGTCAATTTACTGCTTATAAACTTCAATCTTCCATGAATCTCGTACATTCATAACTGCTCTGGCGTATCGAATGTAAACAAATGACGTCATATATTAAGAAATGGACAAGGTCCGACAATTTATTTATTAAAGACATTTTTATGTTTAACGTTGTTATTTTATAGATACAAGTATTTAAGCAAATGCTCTGTTTATGATAAACAGTATTAAATAACATTTACCGGCCTGAATGTCCGAGAAATTTTCATTCAGGCCGGTAAATGTTATTTAATACTGTTTATCATAAACAGAGCATTTGCTTAAATACTTGTATCTATAAAATAACAACGTTAAACATAAAAATGTATTTAATAAATATATATATATATATATAGATAGATAGATAGATAGATAGATAGATAGATAGATAGATATCTCACTAATACATTTTGAAAGTCTCGTGCATAATATCCTGTGTCTTCGCTTAATTAAAACGTCCTTTACAAACCCAGGAAATCTGAACATTTCGTCCCTGATAGCCAGTCTCAAATTATCTCATTTTACTTCTAGCGAGGGTCGGTAAATATTTAGGTGTTGAACGGAATGACATCATCCATCCGGGCATGTCGCCAAACGACGCAATGACGTGTACGACCAACCAGAGAAACTTTTACATTTATTTAAACCGAAACAAACCATTTCCAGTCGGTATTTATCTGGTATTAAATTTCCTCAAGACTTTAGCGCGTCTTTGAAACATTTTTACCGATTTGCTCTCCCTCGTAAGGATTCTGTCGTGATTATCTGTTCTGTCATGTTTGCAACTCAACGCCGCGTTCTGGTGGCCTTTTACCGTAGTATTTTAAGATAAACATCTGTACTCTATCGTTGACGTAATGTTGTCAAATTCCGGCCATATTGGATTAGTTAAATTTTCCATAAATACTTTTCGGATAATTATGAAGTCAGTTTCTTCTCCTTGTCCTCGACTAGTGTTTCTCGCTTTGCGTGGAAACCTGTCTGAAAAGGTCACCCATAAATTAAAACAAGTGCACAATGCAGCAGCAAACCATCCCGCAATATTTCTCTAAAAGTCTCGTCAAATTTCGACCATATCAGATTAGTTAATTTTCTCACTAATGCTACGGAGAGAATAATGAAGCCTATTTCATCTCCCAGTCCTCGGCTGGACTTTCTAGCTTTGGTTGGAAGCCTGTCTAAAAGAAGGTCAACTCTAAATGAAAACCCGTACAGAAGGCAACAACAAAGCACCCATGTATCGTTCCCATGTAGTTATGTCAATTTACAAATAATAAATTAAGGGAAAATGGGAAAAGCTATTGATCATGATAACGCATTTTTAAAATATTTCTACTACTGCAGTTTATCAAAAATTAATAACTGATATTGTTAAAAGACCCCTGCTCTGGGTTAAATAGGTGGGTATATTGTGGTTTCTAGCCTTGAGTGAGAGCTAGTCTACAAATCTTTGAAACTAATACCTTGGAGAGGGTGACAGGAAACCGCTCGATTATCTTTTCCAAGAATGCATAGCTATTCACTGATAATAAATGAAATGAAGCTGGTAAAATCCATGTTTTATAAAAAGATGTATTTTAAACTTATTACTACTCATTCTAAAAGACAGTAAAAATTAACAACTTATATTTCTTTCTTTCATTTTCACCCTTTCTTTCTTTTTTTTTTAATGTACTTTACTCCATTTTACTATTTTGTCATACCTTCCGCCTGTTTTGTTTTTGGCTTCCTCAGCTCTCTTTCGGTGCTACCATCTTTCTTACATTTATTTCCCTTTTCTTTCTTTCTTTCTTTCTTGCATTGTTTTCATTATTTATTAGGGTTATTTCATTTTCTATACTTCCAAGCGTTACCTCTTATATTCTTTGTCCTTTCATTATTTTTCTTTCTTTCTTTCTTTCTTTCTTTCTTTTCTTTCTTTCTTTCTTTCTTTCTTAGCTTTGCATTGTTTGGGTTATTTCATTTTCTATACTTCCAAGCGTTACCTCTTATACTCTTTGTCCTTTCATTATTTTTCTTTCTTTCTTTCTTTCTTTCTTTCTTTCTTTCTTTCTTTCTTCTCTCGGATTCTTTGTTCATTCTTTTAATCTACTTTATTTTACACTTTCTTATCACGCGTCTCTCTTTTTGTCGGCCTACTCTTTGTTTGTTTGTTTGTTTCTTTCTTTCTTTCTTTCTTTCTTCTCTTACGTTTTACTTCGTTTTTTTTATCTTCCTCTTTTCCATTTTACTTCTTTTTACCTTCTTTTTGTCACTTAGTTTCTTCTTTTCTTTCCTACTTCCTCTTTCTCTCTTCCTTCCCTTTTATTACCTTTCGTTCATTCTTTATTCCCTCTTTTTCATTTCCTCTCTCGCTTTCTTTCTTTCTTCATCATTTTTCAATTCCCTTTTCTCCAATTTTTCCTTTTCCTTTTTCTTCTCTTCTCTCCCTTTATTAATTCAATTATTTATTTCTTAATCATGTACTTTCTAATTGGTTTCTTTTCCTCTTCTCTCTCTCTCTCACAGACCCGAATATTTCTTTGGTTTCTTTTCCTTCTGGCCTCTGACCTCTTTTCATGACTGATATTTCACCAAGGTCTTCAACAAAAGCCTTGACCTCTTGACGCCCATGTTCACTGAAATTCTAATCATTCAAATTTCGTTTTCGTCGTCCTTTCCTTATATTCGTTCTTGTTAATACTTCGAACCAATTTCCATAACTTCTGGCACAAAGATATCCCAAATCCTCAAACTTATAACCATTCGCTTTTAGGGGAATGAACTTTTCCATTATAATAATGCCGCCGATTATTCCACGAGTGATAACCGCATGAAGCCATTTCTATAGGAATTTAATCTTGTGCGAAAATCGACACAAGAGCTTCATGAAATCATGCTGTAGTAATAAATTCAATATTTTTTCTAAGGTTCTGCGAGGAAATGGAAGATTTATTATTACAAGCGAGATTACGTTCTTTTTGTTGCCAATATTAAAATGGGGATAACGGTGTAATAAACTATTCTAAATATTGTCTGGACATCATGGATTTCTCCTGAAGATTTTTCTGTCCGATTCATAATAAAATCTCTTAATTACTTGATTCGTAACTCCTGACTTTCATTATTTGCCACTTACATACGACTGTTCATCTGAAGCATACAACGCTCACACAAAGACTATAAGGTTGTTCTGAAAATAATGTCGAGTTTAGACTAAACATTTTAATTGTATTCTAATATATTACTATAACATATGCACAAAAATACATTACTTATTTCTAATGATTAAACTGACCGGTTGGTTAATTTTATATCAATCTACCCCAGAATTTACTTTAAAGCTGTTGTAATGGAATATTTCACTCTAGCTCCGGGAATTGAGGGTAGAGTCTCGACTCGGGAAACAGCTACTCGACCCCGTTTTACACGGAATCTACGGGGAATTTTGGTCGAGTATACGGACTCGGATACCCCACATTATATTCGGCCTTGAGCCACATCTGAACGCGCGGGGTGGTTGGTAGATATCCTTGCATCGGGAATTAGTTGGAGATTCATCTCCAGCTGTGCTGGTCGAACTCTCTGGTTTCGGACAGAGAGGAACCCAAACTAGGCTCTGCCGAAGGGTAGATTCTCGTCTGGGGTGGTAGACAGCTAGTCCGACTCTGTGAGGAGACACGGGAGGTGTAGCATAGGCGGGAGACACGCCTTTGTCGGCGTTGGGATAGCGTTGATCGGGGCCGGGCGGCGGTCGTCGGTTGCCGTGGAGGTCGGTTTCGTTTGGCTACCCGACCCCCTTTTTTACGGGGCCTACGGTTCCTGTTTGCCCCGCACTTGTGCCACATCCTGCTTCGTTGGGAGGTAAGTTAAATATGCTCTCTGCCTTCGGGTAGAGAGGAACTCTCTTCTCGGGTAACAGCTACGGGCTAGGATACCCCACGTTAATTTCGGGCTTGTACCACATCTGACCGAATGGGGTGGTTGGTAGATATCCTTGCTTCGAGAATTACTAGATTGCGAACCGATTCCTTGTCTTTCAGTAGTGTACTCTCTTTTACAATAAACCTCTATTTTATCTATGCCCGTATTGCAGTTTTTTTTCACTCGAGTACCACCTTTATCTGTTTTTAACCTCTTTAAGGATGCAACAAAAACATTATACACCCATCATCTTGAACATGAAAAAAGAAGAGATGCGTTTATGTTTTTGCATGTTCAAGTCTGGTCGTCATAATGCTTCTCAAAGTGAAGTCAACATTAAAAAGAGCATGAGGTGAAGGATCGGACTTGAGATCGGACAGTACGACGAATGTGCGCGGTGGGGATACGAGACATGAGAAACTATGTGGTAGGGGACGTCCATCTGTAATTGGGAAACAATATCTGAAAACACTAGTCGGAGAAAAGCCACGTTGAGGGGTCAGATAATTGGCGTCAACATTTCAACAATCTTGGAAAACATCAAGAAAATGTCAAATGGCAGAAGCCCGATAAATGGATTCCACATGAACTCAGTGAAAATCAGAGAGTTCGACGTTTTGAAGTGTGTTCGATATTGCGTGTGTGATATTGGACTGATCGATTTCTTGATCGAATAGTGACTTGTGATTAGGAATGTATCCTTTATGACAACAGTAAACAATCGGCTCAATTGTGTGATCATGACAAAGCACCCAACGACATTCCAAAACTGGAATTGCACCAACAGAAGATTACGGCGACTCTGGGGGTCCACCATTAGCGTTATCGATTGCAGCTTTTGTTGTTCATGATGACGGTCGTCTTTGAGTATAGAATCCAGAGGTTAGCAGTGAATATTTCGAAGACAGTAGGAAAGCGTTGTTCAGGTTAGCAGTGGATATCTCGGTAAAGTAGCAGAGCGTAGTTCTTCCTTTTGTTCCTCTTCGCCTGACAAGCTGGTACTGGACATTCGGATAGAGTAAACAAAATGGCCGCCTTTATACACGACGGATTGAATATTCTACGTCATCTGATTGGTTAACCTTCTATTGGTTGACTATAAAGTGAGTCAAGTCATTTGGATTGGCTCACTAGTACATATTATACACAAAAAACTGCAACAGCTTTCTCGAATCTAAGCAGAAGATCACCGCCCAAGTATGCTACCAGCACCCAGATAAAGCAAAATACAATCACACTGGTTAATCGACGAAGTCTACTACTGCTTCATTACAATTCTCGGCCACATTTTTTTCCAGGATGACACCGCAAAAGCTTAGCGACTTAGGGCACACGACTTTTTTTCTACCCATCATATTCCCCTGACCTCTTGCCCACTGAATATCCATTATCAAGCATCTTGACAATGTTTTCTGCGGAAATATATTTGGTTACAACGAATATGCTTTCAAAGATTTCTTCATCCAAACCGTTACAGTTTTATTGTCAAGGCATAAATAAATGTGTAACTCGATGGCAGAAATGTATAGCCGTTCGGTGTTTCTATTTTGACTGATTTAAACATTGTTTAAATACATTAATTCAGGAATAAAAGTCGATTCTGAAATAGGTCGTTAGTCTCCAAACAATCTAATATTTTATTTCATTTGAATTTATAGTTGGTTCATCCCTAATATGGTGCTTTGAAGAAAGTATGAGGTAAAAAATTGTTCCCACTGATTGGGAATGTTTACGGTGAGATTAACCATTTCCATACAGTAAACATTAGTCTTTCATTAACCGAAAAGTAAGCGTTACTGACCGATTGAAAATAATAAACTCTTTCTCTTAAAACAACTTTTTGATATTGATAGGAGTCTCCTTTCTAACCTGTTTTTTAAGTTAGTGCATAAAGCCGACATATTGTTAAAATGACCCTCCAAATAACTAGAAGCTTAATTACTTTTGTAAAAATGACTGAAACAAAAAATACCTTTCAGTAAGTTAGAAACTTTATATTTTGAGTCAATAGTTCATTTCTTTTTATATATTGAGTGGTCGGGGACTTTTTTATAAGTTGGGGACGAGAAGGTTGTTTACCATGTAAGTAAGATGAAAAATAAAACCTGGCAAAGGGTGGAAACTTCAGAAAGACGCAGTCAGTGCACGGGGGGTGGTGTCTCGATAAAGTCGATGTGGAGAAGGCAACTGAAAAACAATCGTAAAAGCAATAAATGTAAAAAAAAATTACATTAAAATAAAACAGTATGAAGGGCGTCAGTTCATATGAGACGGATTTCTCGCTCAGTAAGCAGACACGTGTTCGGCAGGTGCCACTTGAATGTCATCCAGCAAATGTTTACGACAAAATCGACTACTTCCTTGATACGTAACTCCTGACTTTTATTTCTTATCACTCAAAAAGATTTCATTTCGACCTTCCAATCAAACATAGAGCGATTGGACAAAGAGTTATTTTATGCTTTAAACAAATTATAATGTGAAAACAATATTGTTCCCATTGCATTACGTTATTTAAAGGAGTATACTCTTCTTTTATATGCCGTGCCCCCCCTCTATAGGACGTGGGTGACCATGACTCTCCAAGAATTCATATCCCTCGTAGAACTAAGCAATGTTTGGCTCCTTAATATCTTTCCCTGTTAATATTTTAACATGCTTCCATGTAATCTCAATAGGCATGTTGCTCGCTGTTTCTCTCTGTACCTCTTGCTTTCAATATTTCCTGTGGGAATTAAATTCTCCAAGTCCCTTTCCTCATTATGCGTCCTAGAAATTCCTGAACATAAACGAAAGTGTGTTTTTCGTTTAGATTTTCTTTAGAACTTCCTCGTTGCTCAAATGTTCCGTCTATAGCATTCTGAGTATTCTTCTATAAAACCACTTCACCATTACCTCAAGTCTACTTTTCATCTTCAATCGTCCAGCATTCACTGCTATGTAGCAGTTCAGCATTCTTATCTTTGTTTCCAAAGAAAAAACTCCCGTTTTTTTAATATTTTGCTTATTTTTGGGAAAGCATCTTTCGATGTTTCATTGCTACGAATTTCAGTGTTACATCTTTCACCGTTTGTTATAACACTTCCCAAATAGTTAAATTTATGTACTTGCTTTATTTTTGACGTCTTAAACTTGGAGCTAGCATCTTTAGATGCGTCTCCTGCTAATGGTCATATACTAAAGGGTGTTCCAATAACTTAGACCGATTTTAAACTTAATTCACATCTAAAATCAGTCCAAGTTATTGGAACACCCTTTATTATCACTTAATGCTGATATTTAGTGTTCAGTTCTCGTTTACCGATACTGCTTTTATACTTATTGTATCGAGTAAAAGATGATTAAACCAGCTCCGCTGAGGCTTTTTAATATAGGATGAGGAAGGTGGTTAGAAATGATGTAGGATGAAAAATATGACATATCAAATGGCGAAAGATTTCAAGAGTAAACAGTGAGTTCATATGAGGTGGTGTCTCAATAAAATCACTGTGGAGAAGGTAACGGAAACCACTCTACTATTCTTATTCTCTTTTTATTCCCTCTTTTGTTTCGTGTAGACTTCTGTGTATGCATTCGGTATTTTTTCCTTGGATCGGAATTTTTACTTTTCGCCTTGTGCCAAACGTAATCTGCGCTTAGTAAACAGTTACTTCTCTCTCATATTAAACGGCTGAACAGTGAACATCAAGTTAAAAATATCCTTTGTAATGTAAGATAAATAGTTAACGCCCTGCAAAATTGGTTGATTTATTGATTTATTTTTTATGGCTTATCAACCTTTTATGGTTTATTTAAAGCCAAAATATATTTTGGATTGTAAGAATAATTATTTTTGCGAGGATATATTGCATTAACTATTTTTTGAGAATAGTATGATGTGTTTATCCAGATACAAGTCCTTTTCAATATACGACAAGGAAGATGGTTACAAATCATCCACAATGAAACATATGATCAAGCGAGAGGTCACATGAGGTGGTACCTTGATAACGTCACTGTGGAGAATCTAACGGGAAATCACACCACTACTCTTAGCAAGAAAAATCAAGAGAGCAATGAAATAACAGAAAATGACGTGGCGGGAGACAGCCCCCATGGCACTGATGACATCTGTCACCGGAATGTCATCCAGCGACTGTTCGCAACAAAGATAAAATTATATATGTCAAACTATAAACAGAAAGGCTAAGCATTAATTGTATGTAAAAATTCTTTCTTTTTATGTTCCATGTCCTTTCAGGACGTAGGCGATTATGGCTCTCCACCTCCCCTCTATCCCTTGCAGCTCTCAGCAAGTCCCCCCACCTCTGCTTCCTCCTCCAGACCACGGTCTGTCATCCACTTGCTTAAGTTTTCCTTTGTCTCTCTTTTCCTCTATTCGACCCGTGCGTATCAGATTCACCAGGCCCTCCTTTCTCATTATGTGTCCCAGAAACTTCAGCTACCTCTTCCTGATATTAAATATAAGCCTCCTCCTTGTTTGCATCCTCTCTAAGATTTCATCGTTGCTCCCATGACATCCTTAGCATCCTTCTGTAGAACCATATCTCTGTCGCCTCAAATCTCTTCTTCATCTTTGAGGAAATCGTCTAAAGTTCGATAAATAACGGGCCCTTCGTAATGGACGGATACAGAACCTTATATGCAGTTGTTGAGAAAAATGAAAGAGAAGTAGAAGTAATATCTTTTTTTAAAATATGAAGAAATGTGTTTTGTGATACTGGCAACTGTCGGATGGAGTTAAAGAATCTGAAAACGAAGCCTTTCAATGTAGCCATCATATTAATATATACACACAAAAGAAATATTAGATAAGTGTTATAGTGAACTAGATAACTCGGAAATGGAAACGATACTTTAATGATGGAAAGAATAGATCGGAAAACACTTCCATGATGACAGTGAAAAATCTGTAATGGATAAAAACATGGATATACGTGCATTACTTAACAATGAGTTAAGATTGGCACTGGCCAAGATAAAGAGAAATAAAGCAAGAGGAATAGATGAGATTGTAATAGAAATAGACTGCCTTCGACGATTTCGAGTTCGACAAGATTACTTAAGTAATTACAAGAAATATGCGATAGGAACGATATGCCGAAATACTTCAGTAGATCTATTTTTATAGCGATGACAATGAAATCATGTGCAAATGAATGTGAGATCTATCGGAGAAACGGCTTAATGTGTTACATATCTTATAATTAGATAGGAATAAGGAATAGAACTCGTAGCAGAATTAAACCGGAAATATGGAAAGAATAGGCTGGATTTGTTAGAGACACTGGAACAAGAAATACGATTTTATCCGCAAAACGTCACCAGAGAGAGGTTGAGGGACAGAGAGAGAGAGAGAGTAATACAAGTTCTACTAGGGAGAGAGAGAGAGAGCAATACAAATACTATCAGAGAGAGAAGGAAAGAGTGAGCAATACAAATGATACCAGAGAGAGAGAGAGAGAGAGAGAGAGAAAGAAAGAGAGAGAGATAGCAATGTTACCAGAGAGAGATAGTAATATAATTTCTACCAAGAGAGAGAGAATGTGTGTGTGTGTGTGTGTGTGTGAGAGAGAGAGAGTGATAGCGATGCAAATGTTATCAGAGAGAGTGAGAGAGAGAGAGTAATATAGTTTCTACCAACGGAGAGAGAGCAAGGCTTTAGCTACCAGAGAGAGAGAGAGAGAGAGCAATGCAAATGTTACCAGAGAGAGAGAGAGAGAGAGAGAGAGAGAGCAATGCAAATGTTACCAGAGAGAGAGAGTAATATAATTTCTACCAAGAGAGAGTGAGAGAGAAATCAAGGCATTAACCACCAGAGAGGGAGAGAGGGAGCAATACAAACATTATCAGAATGAGAGAGAGTAAGAGAGAGATAGAGAAACAGAGCAGTACATATGTGACAAGAGAGAGAGATAGCAAAACAAATGTTGTCAAAGAGAAAGAGAGTAATATAAATTCTACTAGATAGAAAGAAATAGAGAGAGAGAGAGACAGAGAGAGAGACAGACAGACAGACAGAGGGGGAATGGAGTTCCACAAGGGAGAAGTGCAATAGGAAAAACTTTTAAGTATTGAAATAACGGTTTCATCTAACAATTTCACATGTAAAATGATGAGACCTTGCCATCAAACTAGTATTGCAGTCTAGGGGTAAAAAAGGAAAGTTTATCAGAACAATTACTATGAAAATAGAGAAAAGTTCCAGTCAAGGTACGTTTTAATGTTGAAATAGCTAGCTGAAATCCTCAAACCTGTTCTTTTATTGTCCTTCTCCTCACTAAAATCTTCCCATACTCTTTCAGTTTCTAGGTTTTCACTCACAACGTTTTAATTACATTATCGCCTTGCTTGAAGTGAAATAATTAAAAAAAGGATATATATATATATATATATATATATATATATATATATATAAGAAAAAATACAGAAAAAACAAACATACTGTCGGATTTATATCCATATATTTGCTTACATACTGTCTACTGGAAATACAAACCTGAATTTACTTTATAACATGGAAGACTTCAAGCTTGGACGAGAATATAAGAATCTATTGATCAAGTAAGGAAAGGATTTATTATCGAACTGTTTTTTTTAGAACTGTTCCATCGTTTTTGAAATCATTTTTGATTTGCTTTGTAACATGAAGGACTTCCTAAGCTTGTATGAAGATATAAGAACCTATTGATCTCTCGTATTCCTATATCAACGGAAGGGATTTCTTGAACTGTTTATATAAAATAGTTCAATGGACTTTTTAATATTTTAATATTTGGAAATCATCTTCGAATACGTTTTCACAACATCGCCCACGTGACGACGACGTGATCATATTTAAACGGAACGCTGATCTTATATAAAAATTTCAGTTATCTGTTTGGATTAGTTGTGCTCTTATGTCCATCATCTGTTGTGTTAAATTTTTATATGTTCTAATGTTAATTATGTTTAAATGAAAATGTCCATGAAGATGGTCTTAAATAGACCAAAACGTCCGACGTCGACTTTATATTAACATTAATACAGCATAGTTGCATATTAAGATTTTTGTTTGTTTTTTCTGTATTTTCTTCATACTGTCGGAATTATATTATATCCATATATATATATATATATATATATATATATATATATATATATATATATATATATATATTCTGTTTATACGTTTTATGGATACACTTATTTGACCAAATGCCCTGTTTTTCCATTAATCAGTATTAATTACATGTAAATTAGTGTCCCAAATGTTTTCATTGTAAAAGTTGAATAAAAAACAAGTATATATAAAAGAAGGATCATATATATATATATATATATATATATATATATATATATATAAAAATATAATAAAGAAAAATTATATAAATATTATAATTTATTATATAAATTAATTTAATATATTAATAATAGATAATATAATTTTAAATAATAATAAAATAAAATATTAATATATTAATATAAATTAATCAATATAAAATATTAAAAATATAAAATATTAATAATAAAATTAATTTAATATATAAATTGTATAAGGATTATATATAAAGGAAGCATATACATTTTCTATTTCTATAATACAATTCCTAAACTTATTCGTAAAAAGTAAAATAATGTTTTTTTTATCGAATAGTTATGGGGGTCGACTAATAAGAATTATGAGTAAAAGGGTTCCATGGGTAAAAAATTGTTGAGAACTACTGACTATACGATTAACTATATTATTTGCTTTTAACAAAATATTTCCATTTTTAAACATGAATAAAATAAATATAAAATGTCCAAAAAAGATTTAAAAGATATATTTCAGAGTAAATAAAATAAGAAGCAATGCATTAATAAACTGAACTCTCAATTTAATAATGCGATATTTCATCGTTACGATAACTCGAGGTATGTTTGCTTATTTACGTGAAGTTATAATTCTTTATGACGGCAGAATATCTCATTATTAAAAAACGAAGATCAGGCTGCATGGCCGATAACTGTATTAAGTCACCGTGATTTTTTTTTTATATTATAGAATCGATAGACGTTCACTGTTGTAGGCTCAGTTTTGCCTGGACACTCTCTTACCGTGAACTTGTGGCAGACTCAGTAGTGCCACTATTGCAAGCTACCGTAAATGATGATGCACGCATTATTCCTGAAAATAATGAATGTTCGAGAAATTTCGTAGAATTGAGAAAATTCGAACCACTATCCTACGCGGAACCATCATTTAGCCTGATGTGCTATGACCGTTCAGCCATAGAGGACTTCCGGTTGAGCAAATCTCGAATTACTGTTTTTAGATGCACATCTACGCCGATTTTTCCCGATCGATCATATCTGCACTGATATTGTGGCCGAAAGTAAATTATGACAACAAATTACATAAAATGGATGAAATTGGACAAATATTTTAATATATTTACTATTTATACGTTTTTATGGATACACTTATTTGAGTAAATGCACCTTTTTTTTTTTTTTAAATAAACAGTATTAATTCATTCGGTACCTGTCTATATTTCTGAGATGAGGTGTTATATACACTATTTACATTATTCAGACTATTGTTCTCATCTTGGTCGCCATATTTATTACAACGTTCCGGCCGTTGTACGCTCCGGCCTTCTTCAGATGGTTGGAATGTCGAACTGAATCCTTTATTTCGCTCACTGGGGTAGACTGTTCTAGTTCCATGTGCCATGTTTAATGGATGTCACTTATCAGTTTTCTCCTGTTAATTTCCCTCTGAAAGTTCTCCACTGCCTTAATCGGCAGTGTCCTCAAGGACACATGGCACAGTGGATAAAGGCGTTAGTTAGATTCAGTGACAGGACCCAAAGAGTGTGAGTTCAATACCCGGTTAAGGCAGTGGAGAACTTTCAGAGGGAAATTAACAGCAGATAACTGTTAACTGACATCCATTAAACATGGCACGTGGAACTAGAACAGTCTACCCCAGTGAGCGAAATAAAGGGCTATTAATTTGTGCCACTGTGAACATTAGTTTTTGATACTGCGGCCATTAATTTGTGACACTAATTAATTTTGAAAGTTTTGGCAGTAATTTGTGAAACAGTCGCAATTATTTTATAAATCTAGCGCCATTATTTTGTAAATCTAGCGCCATTATTTTGCGAAATTGTTGCTATTCTTTCATGAATTTAATGACGTTGCTTTGGGAAATAATTAGTATTCATTTGGGAGAGTAACAACATTATTCTATGAATATACCACCATTACTCTTAGAAATTTACGCCATTACACGGCATTGTTTTTGTGAATTACTTTGTGAATATGCCGCCATTAGTTGCAATAATTTTATGAATCTGTAACTATACTTGCAATTTACAAAAGGAGAACAATGGTGTTGGTTCCTTTATTGAATGCAATGATGCCTTAGTCGGATTCGATATTTCTTCCGTCAGTGTACCGTAATCTTCACCTTTTCATATATATACTAGGAATCTTTTTGTTACAAGCAGAAAATGTTAAACCTTAATAAGACTTTAGTTCATCGTGCCTCGCTAATCTTCTTAAAGAGAAGTATACATTAAAAAATAATTAAATTAAATAAATTTCTTTATTAAGAAAATGTTAGGCGAAAAAATTAATTTAGCATAATGTTAAGGAAGCCTTAAAATGGTCTTATTGCAAAAAAACAATAACAAGTAGATGAAAAATCCCAAAACCATTTTAAGGTTTCCTTAACATTATACGAAATTAATTTTTGTAATTGTTTTCCTAACAACAAGTTATCCAATTAACGAGGTTATGTAAATGGATGAAGAGCGAGAGAATAAAGACAAATATTGTTTAGAGCTACAAAAGATAGGAAGTTGTGGAGAGATATGATCACCTACATTTTCAAAGGACTCGATGCAGTAGTTAGGAAAACACTCACAAGACATACTGAAGGTAAGCCACCTTTCCTCATTATGCGACCCAAAAAATTAAATTGTCCTTTTCTGATTTTAAATATAATTGTTCTTTCTATTTTTATTTACTTAAAACTTGACTGGTATTTAGGTACTCCGGACATGGTATTGGGAATAGCCTTCTATAAAACCTCATCTCTTTTGCCCCAGGGGGTGGTGGTGGTGGTGGTGGTGGTGGTGGTGGTGGTGGTTGTTGTTGTTGTTGTTCTTCTTCTTCTTCTTCTTCTTCTTCTTCTTCTTCTTCTTCTTCTTCTTTTTCTCTGTCTCTTCAGTACATATATTGCCCTTTATATGTCCAGTGAGTGTCAAGTTCTCCAAGCCTCCTTTCCTCATTATGTGCCCCAGAAGATCCAACTGTCTCATTCTGATTATAAGTAAAAGTGCTTTTTCGCTTCCATTTTCTTTTAAACTTCCTCACAAACCTTAGGAAAAAAAGTTCAGTAACTAAGAAAATAATTTACCCAAGAGAACGGAAAGTGCAACATTGAAATTTAAAGGCACATTCAGATAGCAAAAGATGCTTCACAAAAGCTAAGCAAAGTATTAAGAAACAGCAACATTTCGTTAGAAATAAAGAAAAGACTACTGAACTCTTATCCAACATCATTCCTCCTATATGTCAGTGAATGCTGGACAATCTCCACATATATGAAGAGACCTGAGGCAACAAATATTCTACATAATGATGCTGATCGTGCCATGGACTGAACAAGAGAGCAACAACTAAGTTTTAAAGAAAATGGAGACAAAAAAAGAACACTTATACAGAGACAGTTGAAATTTCTAAGGCACATAGTGAGGAAAGATGGCTTAGAAATTATGATGTGCACAGAATAGATTGAAGGCAAGACGGAAAGAGTAAAACAATGTAGAATTAGAGAGCTTGTGTTTATGGATGGCAGAAAAGGTTTGGGGGGGGGCTAACAAAAAGATAAAATGTATTAAGAACTACCAAGGACAAGAAAATGTGGAGAGTCATGATCCCAGAAGGGACATAGCATATGGAAGAAGAAGAATTACTATTTGTAAAATATGCAGTTCTATAACGCCATAAATAAGGTTCATTTTCTTTTGTGTATATAGTCATCGTTCTTTAAACACACTGGCGGACAGAGGAAAACTTGAACAATAAATAATTCATTCAATCTTGAACAGTGTTTCCACTTGAGCTGTAACAAAATGCAGCCGACATTGATATTCATTAAAACGTCAACACCTGAGAGCGAACAAAGAGACGATATATAAGAACAAAATACAGAAAAAAAATGGCTGACGGAAATAAGAATTTACCAGCCTCGGACATCTCCTGGACACAATATCTCTTATGTATCAATATTTTATATCATTTTTTTCACGCACGGCATGTGAAATGACTTCTTTCCTTGCACCAGTTTCTGTCGTTGCCGGTTTTCCCGGCAATCAAACATCCATCACTTCTCGAACACAAGATTTTGAACGGTAATCTCGAAAAATCACGCTGCATTGATATGATGCAATTATAAAACGCGTTTAAATTCAGTCAGAAACCTATTTAATCAGGCGTAATCGAACATTGACTGAGAACACTTGATCTGTTCGTTAAATATTCACAAACTAGTTACTTCTGGTTTACTTAATGAAATTCAAATTCTCAAATCTTCAAATCTGTATGATTTTCAATATCATTTTGTCTATTAAAAGTCTCCAGTTTGCTGACAGTATCTTTTAGTAAGAATATAAATTTATGGCTGATAAAAGCAATCAAAATTGTATTCAAGTTTCTTGGTGTCAAGACAAAACCAATGCGTGTGCATTTTGTTAAAAAAAAAAAGCCAAAAAAAAAAAACCCAAATGAAACAGGGAAAAAATTATATTTACGATCAGGTATTAGCATAGATTATATCCATTTTATTGTTTCTTACAGAAAGTAGTGTTTTCAGTAAAAGAACAGGACAAGAAGAAAACTGCATCAAAATGAACCAAGTACAAAAATTTCAAACATCCAGGAAATATTTCTAAGCGCAAGATTTCTAATAGGGTGAGATCTCCTCTTCCATATTGACTGATTTCTAAGTGCGACAGAATCCCATTTGCAGACTAACAGATTTCCAAACAGTCAAGAGCCAATCTTTTGGATTGGCTGATTTCTAAGCGCGTGTAGACCCCACGTCTGGACTAGGTGATTTTATAAGCGGGTGTAGGCCCAACGTCTGAAGTCGGTGATTTTCTATACACGTGTTGGCTGTCCCCACGTCTGGACTAGGTGATTTCTAATCGCGTGTAGGCCCCACGTCTGCACTAGGTAATTCTCTAAGCGCGTGTAGGCCCCACGTCTGGATTAGGTGATTTCTACGCGCGTGAAGGCCCCACGTCTGGACTAGGTGATTTCTAAGCGCGTGTAGGCCCCACGTCAGGACAAGGTGATTTTCTACGTGCGTGTAGGTCCAACATCTGGATTAGGTATTTTCTAAGCGCGAGTAGGCCCCACGTTTGCACTAGGTGATTTCTAAGCGGGTGTAGGCCCCACGTCAGGACGAGGTGATGTCTAAGCGCGTGTAGGTCCCACGTCTGGATTAGATGATTTTCTAATCGCACGTAGGCCCCACGTCTGCACTAGGTGATTTCTAAGCGCGTGTAGTGCCCACGTCTGCACTAGGTAATTTTCTAAGCGCGTGTTGGCCCGCCCCACTTCTGGACTAGGTGATTTCTAAGCGCGTTTAGGCCCCACGTCTGTACTAGGTGATTTCTAAGCGCGTGTAGGCCCCACGTCTAGACGAGGTGATTTCTAAGCGCGTGTAGGCCCCACGTCTAGACGAGGTGATTTCTAAGCGTGTGTAGGCCCCACGTCTGTACTAGGTGAAAGCGCGTGTAGGCCCCACGTCTGGATTAGGTGATTTTTATGCGCGTGTAGTCCCCACGTCTTGACTAGGTGATTTCTAAACGCGACGGAGCCCCACATCTAGAATGGCTGATTCTAAGGACGACAGTGCCCCACATCTACACTAGCAGATTTCTAAACGCGTGTGGCACACTCTTCCAGTCTGTCTAATTTCTAAGCGGGAGAGAGTTGTATGGACATTATTTTTATAAACAGATAAAAATAAAATATAGAATAATAATAATGACGAAAATCATCAATAAAATAAAATTTTAAAAATATTTCAACTTTTTTTATTTAAATTATATACAAAAGAAAGATAATAAAAATACTCCCAGTATCCAACAAAACTTTCTGTCGGAAATACGGACATCCCGCCAAAAAGTCGTTAATTTCAATCTCTTCACCACGAACTTTGGTACAGGCAACACGTGTCCAAATTCTCTCTGTGATATGGTTTGTAATACTACGGAGTAACTTCTTCCTTTTGTTACATGTACCATAAAACAATTGTAACTTTGAAAATACCCACACCAATGTACACGAAAAATATAAATAAATTCTATGAAGTTACCATCCAAATTACCATGTTTTCCTGTTATTTCTGTATGTTTTATTTCCTGCATACTTTTATCTCCGTGAAGCCGAGGTTAATTTCTGCTACTATGATGTAAGTGAATCCCCCACATCATTTTGGTGACCACCGATGTGCATAACAAAAACAACCTATTCTCCCACAGAGCAACTTTTTTCTGGTTGGTTTCTAACCGTGAGAAAGCACCTCATCTAGACCCACTGATTTCAACGCACGAGAAAGCCGCTTTTCTAGGCTGGCTGATTTCTCAGCGCTAGATAGCCCCCTCATCTAGAGTGGCTAAATTCACAGCGTGAGAGAGACCCACTTTTGGACTGGCCGATTTCAAAGTGCATGTGGACCCTATTGTCTGGACTAGGTGATTTTTAAGCACGAGAAAGCCCCTCTTATAGACCAGCGGATTTCTAAGAGTGAAAGAACCGCTCTTCTAGGCTGGCTGATTTGTAAGAGCGACAGAGAACATCTTCTAGCCAGCTGATTTCTAAGCGTGAGAAAGCACCTCATCTAAACTCGCTGATTTGAAAGCGCGAAAGAACGTTCTTATAGACTGGCTGATTTCTAAGCTCTAGAGAGCCTTCTTCTAAATTGGCTGGCTGATTTCTATGGGAGAGAAACGCCCTCTTTTAGCCTGGCTGATTTGTAATCTCTAGAGTGGCCCTCATCTAGACTGGGTGATTTCTAAGAGCGAGAAAGCAGATATTCCAGTCTGGATTATATCTATGCCCATCTTCTAGATTAGATTATTTCTAAGCACGAGAGATCCCCTTTTCTTGACTCGTTGAATTATGAGGGTGAGAAAGCCGCTCTTCTAGACTCTTCTAGAAAGCGCGTAAGAGACCGGCGTCTAGACTGTCTGATTTCTAATCGCATGATAGCACCTCTTTCAGTCTGGCTGGTTTCAAAGTGCGAGAATGTTCCTCCTCAAAACTAGCTATTTTCTAAGCTCGAGAAAGCTCGTCTTCTAGACTGACTGATTTCTAAGCGAGAGAGAGAGAACATTGTCTAGACAAGCTTATTTCTAACCGTGTGAGAGCCCATCTTTCAGTCTGGCTGATTTCTAAGCGGGCGGGCCTCTCATCTAGACTGGCTGATTTCTAAGCGGGCGGGCCTCTCATCTAGACTGGCTGATTTCTAAGCAAAAGGGAGCCCCTGTACCAGACTAGCTGATTTCTTAGCGTAAGCGAGTCCCTCTTCTTGACAGATTTTTTCAAGCGCGTTAGTGCCTCTATTTTGGTCTGACTGATTTTAAAACGCTTGAGAGCCCCTCATCTAGAGCGGCTGATTTCTAAGCGTGAGAGGACACCTCTTCTAGACTGGCTGAATTCTAAGCACGCGGGAATCCCTCTTCTAAACTGGCAGATTTCTAAGTGCTTCAGAGCCCCTGTTCCATTCTGGCTGATTTCTAAGTGCGTTAGGCCCCCTCATCTAGAATGGCTTATTTCTAAGCACGTGAGAGCTCATTTTTTTTTAGTAAGGTTGACTTCTAAGCGCAAGAGAGCCCCTCGTCTAGACTGGTTGATTTCTAAGAGTGAGAAAACACCTTTATTCGACTGGATGGATTCTAAGCGCCAGAGCCTTTCTTGCAGAGTAGCGGAATATTTTAACGTGAGAGAGCCTCTCTTTTTGACTCATTTCTAAGCGCGAGTGATCCACTCATCTAGACTAGCTGATGTGTCATCGCGAGAGGACCCCCTCATCGAGAATGGCAGAGTCCTAAACGCGAGAGCCCTTCTTCTAGGCTGGCTGGTTTCTAAGCTCGAGAGCGCCCCTCTTCTAGACAAGCTGTTTTCTAACGGGGAGAGAGACTTCTTCTCAACTGACTGATTTTTAAGCGAGCAACTCTTTCAGTTTGGCCTATATCTAAGCTGGCGATATCCACACTTCAAGACTGGCTGATTTCTAAGCGCCAGAGACACTCTTCAAAACTAGCTGATTTCTAAGCGTCAGAGTGCTTCTTTTCTAGAATAGCTGATTTCAAAGCGTCAGAGTGCTTCTTTTCTAGAATAGCTGATTTCAAAGCGTCAGAGTGCTTCTTTTCTAGAATAGCTGATTTCAAAGCGTCAGAGTGCTTCTTTTTTTAGAATAGTTGATTTCAAAGCGTCAGAGTGCTTCTTTTCTAGAATAGCTGATTTCAAAGCGTCAGAGTGCTTCTTTTTTTAGAATAGTTGATTTCAAAGCGTCAGAGTGCTTCTTTTCTAGAATAGCTGATTTCAAAGCGTCAGAGTTCTTCTTTTCTAGAATAGCTGATTTCAAAGCGTCAGAGTGCTTCTTTTCTAGAATAGCTGATTTCAAAGCGTCAGAGTGCTTCTTTTCTAGAATAGCTGATTTCAAAGCGTCAGAGTGCTTCTTTTCTAGAAGAGCTGATTTCAAAGCGTCAGAGTGCTTCTTTTCTAGAAGAGCTGATTTCAAAGCGTCAGAGTGCTTCTTTTCTAGAATAGCTGATTTCAAAGCGTCAGAGTGCTTCTTTTCTAGAAGAGCTGATTTCAAAGCGTCAGAGTGCTTCTTTTCTAGAATAGCTGATTTCAAAGCGTCAGAGTGCTTCTTTTCTAGAATAGCTGATTTCAAAGCGTCAGAGTGCTTCTTTTCTAGAAGAGCTGATTTCTAAGCGCGTCAGAGTCCGTCTTCTAGACTGACTGATTTCTAAACGCAATAGAGATCCTCATCTAGACTGGCTAATTTCTAAGCCCGAGGGACACCTCTTTTTCGATTGGCTGTTTTCTAAGCCCAATAGAGCCCTTCTGCAAGGTTCGCTGATTTCTAAGCGAAGTGTCCCCTCTTCTTGTCTGGCTGATTTCTAATCGCGAGAAAAGCGTATTCTACAGTGATACTTAATCCCAAGCTGGAAAGTGGAGATGATTTCTTAACTTTCCAAATGACATTAATGCGAAAATGGATATTTCGACGATGGCGGAAACTGTATTCGGCTCGTCGATTGCACTTTGCGCACCGATAGCCGTTAGATTAGCCACACATCCAAACTAAATATATGGAACAGTAAGAAGAAAAAATACGTACTCATCTGTTGCTGTTTGCAGGAACTCCAGTAATTTAGAGAATTAACGCAATAAACAAACAAATTCATGTTAGTGGAGCAGAATATATGTAAACATTTCAAAATATTAGGCTGTGTCATAAGTAATTTCCTTTTTTAGGAACCAGATGTAATGGTGAAACAGTTAATTCGGAAATGTATTGTCGTCAATTGAAAGCATTACGCAATCATCTCCAGAAAAAAAAAAAACGTGTCTATTATTTTTACCCCTTAAACGACCGGAATATGTGCACACCAAACGAGTGAAAAAGTACAAGAAAATAATTTTTAAAGGGTAGTAGGTAGGTATTCGTTTATTATTGCCTGTGCTTTGGAGAGATCAAATCATTCTCACCATTCGGAGAGAGAACAAAATCCCTGCAGTTTGAACAAACCGGGAGCTACCAGCGTTTGCTTAGAATTCAGTCCTTATTACCAATCATACGTAGAAGTTATGAATCAATTTATTATGATTAAATTTGGTGTACCCTAACTTACGATCATGTGCAACGCAAAATGCAACCAATTGACAAGGGTTAATCTCCACAACTGAACCCAAATACCGATCACCGTGGGATGCAAGTAGCGTTGGGCGCGTGTCGGGTGGGGTTAGGGTAATATTGATTTAGAATTCTTAAAAGGCGAATTACTTACCATGTAATTATAATGTTTTAAGGCATATCGAATTCAGTGGATTATTCAAGGCCGACAAGATTTTATTGCTGGTAATATTTTAAAAAAAAATGTGTTGCTGGTAATAATGTATTTCTGGTTATAATTTTTTTTCTTCAAAAACTCATTGCTGGTAATAATTTTCTTTCTTTAAAAATTCGTTGCTGCTAATAATATTTTTCTTCAAAAACTCATTGCTGGTAATAATTTTTCTTCAAAAAATCACTGCTGGTAATAATGTATTGCTGGTACTAATTATTTATGAAAATATATTGCTGGTAATATTTTTCCTTCAAAAATGTATTGCTGCAAATAATGTATTGTTTGTAATAAATTTCGTCAAAAATTTATTGCTGGTATTAAAACCTATTTTTACACTTTCATAATGTTTTGTCCCCAGTTAGGAGGTTATGTATTTGCCCATAGTTGGGACCCTAACAGGTGCTACCACCCCCAGGTCAGTGTTGACCTGAGAACACCAGCAATTAAGAGGTAATGTCTAACCCTAATCATACGTAGAAGTTATGAATAAATTTGATCTACCCCAACTTACGATCATGTTCAACGCAAAATGCAGTAGCATTGGGCCCGTGCCACAACTGAACCCAAAAGTCGAGCACCGTGGAATGTAAGTAGCGTTGGGCCCGTGTCGGGTGGGTTGATTTAGAATTCTTAAAAGGCGAATTACTTACTATGCTTTGGTTTGGTTTGTGTTACGGCTTTTCAACCTCAATGTAATAAAGCAAAATGTAATAAAAGAAGAATGAAAAATTAAAAAAAACA